GAGGAGACACGGGACACCGGAGAGGGGGGTATAATACCTCTAACGTACTCCCAGCCAATGGGAGAAAAGCCAGATAACCGGCTCTCCTGAGGACTCCCGTCATCATGGCCGACACGTTACATTTCCATTCACACTCACCGTTCCATCTCGGTGCACCAGAGAATGTCTTCCTTCTCGTTCATGAAGACGGGGAAGTGTTGGTCTTTGCCCTGCTTGATGGAGTTGGACCTAGTGGTGATGGTTCGGACTTTGCTAAACTGAAGCAGAGAGTTTGGTGTTATCGGCCGGACTGAATCAAGACTTACCCAGAACTTCATTACACATCTCCGGCACGTGACCTATGACCTGGCTCCGAGGAGCTGAGCTGATTGGCTGAGAAGTTATTGTAATGTGTTGGGGGAGAGCACAGAGCTGACTATAGAGACCTCGGCTGAGGACGTCATATCTCATCTCTTCACTCATGCCACAGCATTCCTTCACCTTACCCTAGGACTGAGCCCTCTCCCTGCCCCAAAAATTAAAGAGAACCTGTGCTCCTCCCATGCGGGACAGAGCAACCGGCTCACTATGATGCTGGCCTGCACATTGAACCTGAAGACAGCAGGTCCTACACAGTTCCAGGACGGAGGTCACATGGTCTTAGGGCACCGTGCCGATGATGTCACAGGACCTGAAGACACTCCTGCAATGCAAAGCTGTTGGAGGCCAATGACAGCAACATACAGGAACCGGAACCAGAGCCCCACGTGACCCGAGATTCACAATCATAGTAAGTTGGTGTGCGGCCCCTCGCTCATCGCCCCCATGCAGACCTCAATTTACAGGTCACTGCTATAGTGTGAGGCGGGGCCCCATATACCCTATATTACCAAAAGTATTAGGCCCCTCCCCCTCAAAATCATGTGACTCAGGTGTTCCGTGACATTTCCCGGCTACTAAACATTCCGCCGCGGTCACCTGTTACTGGGATTATAACAAAGTGGAAGCAACCGGGAACAACAGCAACTCAGCCAGGAAGTGGTCGGCCACGTCACATGACAGAGCGGGGTCAGCGCATGCTGAAGCGCACAGTGCGCAGAAGTCGCCGACTGTCTGCAGAGCCAATAGCTACAGACCTCCAAACTCCATGCGGCCGTCAGATTGGCTAATTAGAGGCGGAGACTGCGAGCCCCTCCCCCAACATCTGTACCTGACCTCACAAATGGTCCAACATTCCCATAGACACACCCCTAAACCTTGTGGACGCCTTCCCAGAAGAGGCGGAGCTGTTATAGCGCCAAAGGGCGGAGCCAACCCAATACTGAACCCTACGGACTAAGACTGGGGTGCCAATAAAGGGCGGAGCCAACCCAATACTGAACCCTATGGACTAAGACTGGGATGCCAATAAAGGGCGGAGCCAACCCAATACTGAACCCTACGGACTAAGACTGGGATGCCATTAGAGGGCGGACCCAAACCCAATACTGATCTCTATATGGCCATTAGAGGGCGGAGCCAACCGAATACTGAACCCTACGGACTAAGACTTGGTGGCCATTAGAGGGCGGAGCTAACCCAATACTGAACCCTACGGACTAAGACTGGGATGTCATTAGAGGGCGGAGCCAACCCAATACTGAACCCTACGGACTAAGACTAGGGGCCACTAAAGTTCATGTGCGTGTAAAGGCGTCCCAATACCAATGGCCATATAGTGCATGTGAAGGGGGCCCTATATATGTGAAGGGGGCCCTATATATGTGAAGGGGGCCCTATATATGTGAAGGGAGCCCTATATATGTGAAGGGGGCCTATATACATAAACGTGTGATAATTGGTGTGCAGCCGCCTATTTCTCCCCCCGGAATATGATTGGTGACCTCTCACCTTTGCTATCCTGCCGTGCTCCAGGCAGTCTTGTAGACTGAGTCGATCATTCACGGTGGAGGCCAGAGGTCTGCGGAGAGGACAGAGGAGGACAGAGTAGGTGAGTGTGGGGTAGGGGAGTCCCGGTGTACACAGTCTGTATAGAGAAGACGTAGAGGCGGAGTATATCTGAAGCCGAACCTTTCTTTCATTCTGAATGGAGTGGGGACGGTGACGGTTTTTACTCCTCGCCCTCTGGGTCCTAATGATGATAATTGAAGCGGAACTCCCGGGAAAAGCTTAGTTACCTCTAATGGTCGGAATTTTTGGGATGAATTAGAGGCGGAGACTGCGAGCCCCTCCCCCAACATCTGTACCTGACCTCACAAATGGTCCAACATTCCCATAGACACACCCCTAAACCTTGTGGACGCCTTCCCAGAAGAGGCGGAGCTGTTATAGCGCCAAAGGGCGGAGCCAACCCAATACTGAACCCTACGGACTAAGACTGGGGTGCCAATAAAGGGCGGAGCCAACCCAATACTGAACCCTATGGACTAAGACTGGGATGCCAATAAAGGGCGGAGCCAACCCAATACTGAACCCTACGGACTAAGACTGGGATGCCATTAGAGGGCGGACCCAAACCCAATACTGATCCCTACGGACTAAGACTGGGATGCCATTAGAGGGCGGAGCCAACCGAATACTGAACCCTACGGACTAAGACTTGGGGGCCATTAGAGGGCGGAGCTAACCCAATACTGAACCCTACGGACTAAGACTGGGATGTCATTAGAGGGCGGAGCCAACCCAATACTGAACCCTACGGACTAAGACTAGGGGCCACTAAAGTTCATGTGCGTGTAAAGGCGTCCCAATACCAATGGCCATATAGTGCATGTGAAGGGGGCCCTATATATGTGAAGGGGGCCCTATATATGTGAAGGGGGCCCTATATATGTGAAGGGGGCCCTATATATGTGAAGGGAGCCCTATATATGTGAAGGGGGCCTATATACATAAACGTGTGATAATTGGTGTGCAGCCGCCTATTTCTCCCCCCGGAATATGATTGGTGACCTCTCACCTTTGCTATCCTGCCGTGCTCCAGGCAGTCTTGTAGACTGAGTCGATCATTCACGGTGGAGGCCAGAGGTCTGCGGAGAGGACAGAGGAGGACAGAGTAGGTGAGTGTGGGGTAGGGGAGTCCCGGTGTACACAGTCTGTATAGAGAAGACGTAGAGGCGGAGTATATCTGAAGCCGAACCTTTCTTTCATTCTGAATGGAGTGGGGACGGTGACGGTTTTTACTCCTCGCCCTCTGGGTCCTAATGATGATAATTGAAGCGGAACTCCCGGGAAAAGCTTAGTTACCTCTAATGGTCGGAATTCCACGTCCGGGGGGATGCTGGGGATGCAAAAAATCTCCATTGTAATGATTCTGGAATTACTGTCGGCTTTGATCTTCTGGCTCAGCGGCTTCCAGTGAAGGACGGAGTCACTCCCCCTCCCCCACCCCCGTCTATTCACAATATAAGGTTTTCTATGAATGGACCAGGGGAGGAGCCAGCGTTCCGGATCTTCCCTCCTCCATTCAGATGAAGCCTTGTACCCCGTGAATTGGGGATGCACCGGTACCGCTGCTTCCGCTGGCATGGAGCCGACTCCTCGAGTGATCAGAGAGTAATGACCCGCCTCCTGATCGGCCGGGAATCAAGCTCCGTGCTGATCGGCTGGAAAGTTGGCTTCCCGGCCAATCAGCATC